TTTGAACCAGAACGGAGGAAGCACGAACCACGTCTTCTCTCCTAGATCTTCCCGAAGCCACGGGAACTGGTAGCAAGCTCAGCTCCTACCTGAAACTGTGAGGTGGCCTCCCCCGTGAAGGGGAGGTCAGTACTTGGAAGCATTTGACAAGTACAATGATAACTATACTAAGTATAACCAGTGTTTCAATTTCTAAGACCCTCAATCTAGTGTGATATTACATTATAGGCCATAACACTCAGTTACCCCTTTTAAAGAAAAAAATACTTACTTTATATAAAGTCAAGTAGTCGTCCCGTGGGTCCATATTCATTTAGAATTCACCATTTTAATTCCACGTGACCACAAGCCATGACAACTCTATAGGGTTCCATCGAGCCCCGATTGTATAGCAAGGGCTCGGCCCAACTACATTTCTATACAATCCTCTAACTCAATTTAACACGTCAAAGTTGTATGGCAAGGGCTCGGCCCAACTACGTTTCCATACCCACCATAACTTCATGGCAAGGGCTCGGCCCAACTACGTTTCAATGAAGATCACAAATACATGGCAAGGGCTCGGCCCAACTACGTTTCCATGCTAATCATATTACATGGCAAGGGCTCGGCCCAACTACATTTCCATGCAATCCTAGAGTCCGACTATAATTTATTTCCATAGTCCAATTCTCAAGCAAATCCTATGCCTAGAATCAATTCACTTGGGTAGCCTTTAAGCTTACCCCTAACACACCTTAGTGTTCATACAATTCAACCTTAAAGTATCTCTTAAGACTACTTAAGGCATATCTATTCACAACCCTATCTCTTAGGATTAATTCCATCATTTATTTATACTAGATTTTCACCCGCGCGATGCGCGGTACATAAATAAAATAATAATATTAAGCAATAATAGTTAATGTATAAATGACATGACAAAGTATATATGTAATACACAAAAACAATTGTAATTAAGATAAATATATATACGACTCGTAATTGGTACGAATACTGTTTTGGGAGAATAAGGATTAAGAAACATTATAATAGGAAATCCATACTCTACACGTTTCTAAATACTTCTTTGTAGAAAACATTGGTACTACGGTCTAGTTTTTCTCCATTTTCACCGCATATGAGTATCTTCAAACCCTTGCGATTTGTCACTCTGGATGCTGCAACATATAGTTGACCATGTGTAAAGACAGACTTTTTCAATATAAGGCCAACATGCTTCAACGATTGACCTTGACTTTTATTTATTGTCATCGCATAAGAGGTCATCACAGGAAATTGTCTTCTTTGAAGCTTGAAGGGTATTCTTGAATCTGATGGAGTCAAACTTAATCTTGGAATGACAACTTCAAGTCATGCGTATTTCCCCCCTAGAATTTTTGCTCCAAGAATGTGATACCTTAGCCATGTAATAATCAACCTTGTTCCATTACAAAGGCCCATAGAAGGATCAATACTCCTGAGAAGCATTACTGGAGTACCCACTTTAAGGATTAACTCGTTGTTTGGAACTCCTGATGCACGGATTTTATTGAGAAATTCAGGAGTGTAAGTCAGCCAAGAAATCAGAATTTGAGTCTGACTTGCAGATGCTATCAGAACTCAAATATGTCATAGACTCTTCTTGAACATTGAGAGATGACATGTATTCATTGATTTGATCCACAACATCCAGAGTTGGAGCTAGAATTTCACGCTCTAGCAAGTAGGACAAATCATTAGCAATATTCTGAAAGTTAGGATATGTGCTTTCCACAATAGTGGCAATCGAATCCTCTCCACACTCTAATAGAATGTCACTTGGAATTCTGACATCAGCAAATCCATCATTGACTTCGCCCGCGATACCATCTCCTAGATCTGCAATCCACTTCGCGAACTCTACCAAATCTTCGTATTCACGATCGTCACTAAGTGATTGGAGCCGCATGTTCTTCGTCAAATGCAACACAATGCACTCATGCCAAATATATGAAGAATTAATTGTGGCATTCACTATGTCTTGTCTGGTACCCTTTGTAATGACGGGTAGATTTGCCTAAAGTCTCCCCCGAACACCACCGTTTTCCCTCCAAATGCTTTATCTCCGTTATATGAATTTGTAAATCTGAGGATGTCTCTCAAACTCCTGTCCAACGCTTCAAAACAATACTTGTGCATCATTGGTGCCTCGTCCCATATAATTAGTTTGCACCGAATTATCAACTGTGCTACTGGACTCCCTTGTTTGATGTTGCATGTGGAGTTCTCAGTCAGATTGATTGGTATCACAAACCGTGAATGAGCAGTCCTCCCACCGGGTAACAGTAAAGCTGCAATGCCACTGGATGTAATAATTAAATAGTTTAGGATTGCAGGTTTCCATAGCCACTTCACCAGGTAAATCTTTTAATCCTTCTTTATCTTTATTATCAGCCTTTGTGAAAATATAACATGTGTGTTCTGTGATATTTAAAATGTAGTCAAACGTTTTAAGCAGCAAATAATGTGCTATAATTTAATCCAAGTTTTTATTGTTACTTAATTCAACAACAAAAATTCCACAGTTTTGGTGTATTTGCAAAAATGGTTTTACCAAATTTTGTGTTTAAGGTTCTACAATGTTTTTAGTTTGAATATTTTATAAATTTAATTTTCGAAATCTATTATAATCAATTCTTCCCGTTGTGTAGGTTTTTTTAAACATATGAAACTTACAAAAACAATTTTTTCGAAAATAGTGTCACCATAAATTCCATTTTCAATATTCAATGTAATTTAAAGATAAATTTGTAATCACATTAATTTCTTTGTGATCATAAATCTTAAAAAAAACGTTCAGAATCTGTTGCTTAGAATGTCAGTTTGGGGGATCACGCCTCTTATTTCCTCAATAATTTTGTTGTATTGCCACAATCATTTATATTTCCTCCATTTTATTTCTGCTAGAATCACCTCAGATACCTTATTTTGATATCAAAATCACGCTAAGGAATATTAAGTTTAGGTTACCATAACTTACCAGCTTCACTTTAGGTAAAAGAGTAGAAAACTTTAGTTTTTCGCAAACATATTATTATTGCATAATCAATATTATGGTTTCATCTTTTAACTATATGGCAAAAGTCGTAGCTTTCTTTTTCCACCATTCCTATTCCTTCATTTTAAGCAGCAAATACTGCATGTTGTATGATTTTTGTCCATAACATTTTCGTTATTACAGAAATTCTCACTACAGTCGATTTTTATTATATAAAGAAATATAAACAAATATGTATTTCTGATCCTCGTATCTGTATTAAAAACCCACCTTTTTATAGATTTATTATTAAATTATCCAAAGAATTCCCCCCCCCCCCCCCCCCCCCAATGCTTTTTACAATCCACTTAAATGAAGTACCGATTTCAATTAAGTTTGATCAATCTATTTTCATCTTAAACTTTATTTAAAACCCATACCATCATTTACCTAAAGTTATAGATTTTGTCATAGACATTTTTAAAAATCTAGATTTGATTCAACTTGAGGATTTTGTTTTATTTATTATTAACAAAAGCTTATTAATTAGTTGCTTAAAAGTACATAATACATTAAGTATAGAATAAATTAGATCTTCCTATGACTTGGTGTTTTATTTACATGTCAGGTGCATTCAGGAACATTATGAAATATGTAATTATTTTTTCTTTTAGTTTAATGAATGTAATTCATAGATTTTAGGGCCTTTAATAAGGTGCCTCATATGTAATAATTAAATAGTTTAGACCTCTAGGAATGCAGGTTCATAGCCACACCAAACACCAGGTACGTCTATCTTCCTTTATTATTATTAGCCTTTGTCAATATATAAATTGTATGATGTATGATTTTAAATCTAGTCAACATTTTACACAGCAGAAACCTTTTTAACTAACTTGAACAATAGTTAATTTTTTGTAATTCTGTTTCTATGTTTAACCAAAATCTTGATATTTCACTGCAAAAGTTTTGGTTTGAATTAAAAAGTTGCAATATGTTACCGTTTCCTTTGACTGTAGCCAATATAGTCGAAGAAATGAATTGTAACACTACAATCTAAGTCGTATGATTCTTTCCACACCAACAATTAATCCAGCCCTAATTTTTTCATTTTGGACAGCAAATAATTCAAGTGATAGTTTTTTGTACTAACATTTTTGTTAGTACACTTTTTTGTACTAACATTTTTGTTAGTAAATTTTCATGACATAAATTATATGACATGTTTTTAGTGAACACATTTTCGAAATATGTATTTCGAATTTAGATTAAATTTGATAGTTCTTTTTTGAATCTGTATTAACAAAAATTTGAACTAACATTTTTGTTAGTACGCTTTATCGTACTAACATTTTTGTTAGTAAATTATCATCACATAAATTAGATGACATGTTTATAGTGAACATTTTTTCGAAATATTATTCAAATTTAGATTAAATTTAATAAATCTTTTTTAACCTGAAACTTATTTTTAATCCTTATAAATTATACTACCTCCCACTTCGTTTTTCACCATTCGGTTAAACTTAGCCAACAAACACATTTTTTCATCAGATACTTTTTTTTGTAGGTTTGTTGTTTAAACTATAGTGCAATATAGTATTTTTCGAAAATACTTGAACTTTAAGTACGTAGCACAAAACCACATTTAATCTCATTACTTAATTGCGTTTTATTTATAATCAAAACAATTACAACTCTCACTAATAAGAAATAATTGCTGCCTAGAATTTCTATATCAATCAAGGCCCTCTGGACTACTCTCTTCTGTCTTCGTTCCTCCATATCATGGTCTCCTGGTCTCCTTTCCGTTTCGTAGGTGCCCTTCTGCCATATGCTAATGCATCCTTAGGAGTCCTTTAACCCTGCAAAATTGACATTGCAAAATCTAACATAGAAAAATAGGTTTTGATGTGAAATATAAGTCTTAGGTCGATAATTGTTCATGCCTACAACTTGAACAATGCAAAACAGAGTTAATTATTACAGACCCAGCTCGTAGTTTAGCAAAAAAGTAAGGCACAGTTTTAAATAAATATGTAAGTGCCCAAACAAAATATTCAACAAATCATCAATCCACTCCTTTTTCAAGCAAAATGTAGCTGAGCCTGCTGGTCTATCTTCACCATTATTCCTTCTCTTGCTTGACGCGGATACTTCTCCGTTTGATGTTAACATTGGCCGAAAACTGGTCATTCAGATTTCTCTTAAGTTGATCGTTCCCTTCAATACCACCAACTGTCCGATTAGCTGTTGGAGTTTCTAGGCAATCCACTTCCTTACCCTGTCCAGAAACAATTTGTATTCATTGCCTCGTTACTTGACTCTATATCGTGGAAAACAAATTCCACTCTATCAAAAAAGAATTTGACAACATCATCTACCTTTTCAGCCGCCCTTCTGTCATCTTTGTTTTCAACTTGTGTAGGCGACACGAAATCGTCATCTTCAATTAGAACAGTCTGTATACCAAATAAATTAGTATCATATGATACAACGAAATTAGTTAATAGGAAAGTTTATCCACACCTTCTGTTTTGATTTACTGCTAGCAGTACCATCTTCTATCTCGTTTCTTGTTGATCCACTCTACACTTATAACAAATGTTATATTATGCTGTCCACACCAAATCAAACATTTCAAAACATTTACCTTCTCTACATTTGTGTTTTCATCCATTTCAAGTGCATGGCTTTCATTTTTGGTATAGAGGTCCAAGATAGATATGTCTCTTATCATTGCAAGTATCCCATACGAAACTGGACCTTTGTAAGAAGAACTTTCGTCTCTTGCTTTTATTTGAATTTTGAAGATGCCTCTTTGATCAATCAAAGCCTCAATGTCCTCTGGGAAGTGGGTAGGGTCTCCAGTTTTCTGAAAATAAAAATCTTGATGAGTTTCCTTCCTTTTTCAGAATTGTTAGTGTAAAAAGTATTTTTTTGAATCAACCTTTTCAACTTCCTTTCTTAATGCTGCTGCTGTTTTCCCCACAATATCAATACATTCCCTATCCCATAAGGTGAACGTAGCGTGACCTGAGTCATCCATGACACAAACTGAAACTTTGTACCTGCATACCGAAAGTTGGCAGATTAATGTTTGAAGTTGTAGTCTTAGTTTAAAATAGTGGAAAGTGATACATCTTAACAAATAACACAACCTCAACACTCCCTCGGGAATAGTCGTGTCACATGTGATGCATCTGAACCTTTCATCTCCCGGCTTGATTTTCTTGTTGCATGTTGGGCAGCTAAGGTAGCACCATTCCTTATAGTTGTCTAGTGATACAATATCACCAAGTAGCCAATAGGTTTCATCCTGTGTACAGAAGCTGTCAGTTACAAAAGGTGATCATTTTTTTACAAATTCTTTGCTTAAATCATCTTTTTACATGTGGTTCCTCTAGCAAATCACTGATGTTTGTGATAGTACCCTTTCCCCTAAAAACGTCCTCACTACCCTGACCAACTGAATTTGCAGTGAAGGTAGTCATTGTTGTATTGTCGTCATGTGGTCCAAACTGCGATTTGAAATCTTCAAACTCTGGGGTAGAACCATTTATTATCAACTTGGAAACATCATAAGATGTTCCAACCAAGACATAACCTGAATAAGTTTGAAATCTTTCATGAGCCCATTTGAAGCCTAAATAAAAAACTTAATTTTTTTTGAATTAGTCCTTACCTTGATAGCGTCTGGGTCTACCCATTTGTAGTATGATGTAGATGGCTTCATTGTTATGAGCATCATAAAAATCAGTGAACTGTTTGCAGTAGTTGTTCCACAATGTGCATCCAATACGATTTCCACTACAAATAAAAAAGAGTTTCATCATAAACTCTCGATTTTTATGATAAACGAATACAATATCATAGATAAAATTAAGACAGTACTCTGGATCTTCCAAAGTTAGTTCAATCAGCTTTTCTGGTTTCCCGTTAACGATTGGTGTTTGTACTGGAGTCTTCCCGACATACTTACCAATTACATCTGAAAAAAGACTGATATTAAATGGTGTGATTATAAGAAAGTGTTTAAGGATATTTGTATATGAAATTACCGATAAGCAATTTGTCGTTGATGACTCTTAGACTCTGCAGCGCGTCAAATTGATGGAAATTGAACACTAAGTTTGGAAAAGTTGCTGAATGCAAATCATAGACCGTAGTTTTTTTAAAAAACTCTAAAACATAAGGGTGTTCAGTAGTTTTGTAGTTGAAGTAGTTATCAAAAACTAAGAAGTTCTTGATTCTGAAACACTTGTTTGCATGCAGTTTGTTTTTATACAAATGCATGAATGGCCTTTTCACAACAGCATGAATGCGGTCACCCTGCAAAATGAAAGGAAAATGAATTAGGAAGATGATCACTCGAATAATCAACCACAAAAAGGAGTTTAATAATAAATTAAAATGCTTTCGAAATAGAAATTACGTTCTCATCGTGGAAAACAAATTTCATTCTTGCACCTCCTTTGGATTGAGGTGAAACCTCATATGCTCTAACCACCCTTACTTTTAGAGCCCAGTTTGTTCTGGTGTGGTTAACTTCCCTAATCATCGAATACAATTGACTGCCATTTGGTTCGGAGTTTTCTTTGCTAGATGCCATTGTGGTTTGTAACTTTGAACTGAAACATGTTGGTATTTATAGGGAATTCGAATTTTCAGGGTTTGCAATGAAACTGAAATACCCAATGTGTAATAGATCTCGCCCCTCTCAACCACCCCATTTAATGCCCCCTAATTCATTAAATGCTTAATAACTCCTCTCTGCAATTCGAATGACCTTAATAGTACGAAATGTCACACTGAAGTGGACCCCAGACCACAGAAACGAATTGTCCACTTTTGACCCATTTTTGACCCGAAACTTTGGGCGGGAAAAGTGGCTGCATTTCCACTTCGTTTTGTATAGAGTAAGATTAATCTCCCGACTAGTATTTCAATACTAGTCGGATAATCTTAGAACAACCAAGTTCTTAATTCACAGTCAAACAATTCATCTCAATTGATTTTCCAATCCAAGTATGATTTAATCTCAATATCAAAAATATCACTTTTATCCATTCATGAATTCCTTACATGAAGTAAAAGTATATTTTGTCACAACATTTCATAGTTAATCCCATCATCATGCCATCACTTTCATATCACATAATCATACACAATTTATTCTAAATTTGTATATCATGCTTCACTTCTCATATCAATAGTATTTTCATTTAGGCATTATTAATCATTAATAATCCATGAAAATCACATTTAATTACCTTAGGAAATTTTATGAAATTAACTCACTAATTATAAAATCAATATAGTCAGCCATCCTCACCTTATGATGTGCTTAACTAGTTGCCTTTGCGAAGTCCTTCGATCAACCCCCGTTTCTGGCTGATTAAACCAAGAATCCTAGATAGCAGCTGAAAGCCGCCCAGCTTTCACAAAAGCCGCCCGGTGTTCGTGTTCTGCAGGTTCGAGCAATTCACCTTTAAGTGGCGGTTTCCGGCGATTTCGACTCCTATCGATTCACCAACTCTTCTAAGTTAATTAACACCACTTTATATCATTATTCTACACCTTTAAACGTGTAGAACTCATGGTTTAATCCACTATATGATTTCTTAAAAATCATACAATAATAATACTAGTTAATTCATACTAGTTGGATTCTTACCTCAACTTAGCTCTTTTCTCTTGGGTTCCTTCTTCTTTGTGCTTCTTCAAGCTATGAGTTCTTGAGAGAAGACTTCTCTGGAGCTCCTCCTCTTGGTTGGACGAAAATGAGCTCAAAGGATAGGGGAGGAGTATCTTTACCCAATCACTCCCAAGATAAGTCAAAGATTGAGACATGGGGTGTGGGTTTTTGTCTCTATGAGGCTTCCCATCCCACTTGTACGCACCATCCATGTGTGGTTGCCTCCCCTCCCCATTATTTGAGACGTATTTGGTTCATAAAATATCCCAAGTGTGTGTAGAAAGTTCCTCCCAATTATTCCTGCTATTTCTGGCAGGTTGAGTCAAAAGAGCACTTCGGTTCACACAAACTTTTCCTCAATTCTCGTTGACATTTTGTTGGGCTTCTATAATTATTATGATGACCCAACTAAATATTTGGTAGCTCATTCTCAATATTATGGGTCCGATAAATAATTTAATTCATCACCCATTAATTAAATAAATCATTCTCTTGCGCACGAAATTATTCGTTAGGAAATTCAAATACATACTTAATATTAAATTCAAGTACATCCGGGTGCGGTGTGACCGCCTACCCTCGAGGAGGATTTGTATCTCCTTGGCTTCCGGCGCTACCGTTTCCTGGGGGAGATGGATGAGAAGTACCTTGTCTTCGATTGAGCGTTCGAGGACACAAGAGGTGATTCCCGTAGGCTCAAGTTTTTGTACTTAGGAAATTTTTGTAGTGTAATTTCGGTTCTTGTCTTGACCCCTCGGCCTAATATTTTGTGTTGTGTTGCAGGTGCTAGCATGGATGTCCACAATTTTGCCGGAATGAAGAAGAAGTCGGCCAAAGAGCCAAAGAAGAAGGAGACGGGTATCCAAAAGCTCGTTGATGAGTTCTTCCCGAGGGAAGCTGAGCCCTCGGCTATCCCTGTTGACGCTGCCGCTGCCGCTGCGAAGAGGAAGGCAGCCGGAAAAGGTGTCACCCCTGACGGCAAGAAGCCGAAGAAAGGGGAGACTGGGAAGAAGGCTCCCCCGGTCCTGATCGTGGATGAGCACTCGACCTCTGAGTCTCTGGCTGTAGCAGCGACGACTCCATCCAACCCCCTTTCGGGAGACCGTACAATTCTCCCTTGTCAGAGGAACCGCTGTGATGCACAACACAGTTGACCCGAAGGCGTTCCAGAGGGGCATCACTTCGGAGATGGATAGGGCATCCCTTGACACCTATGATGATGATGCCCTCGAGAACAAGATCCTCCGGTCTTCTCTTACTATAAGTCCCTTTCCCTTTGTTCCTTTTCCTTTTGTCTTAGAGCATTTTTGCATAGTGTCCTTACCCCTTTTGTTTGTCGTTTACAGGCTTGCATCGCCCTCAGTGAACAAGCCTGAAGGGGGAAAGAGTTGCGTCTTGAGAAGGCGCAACAGGATGAGCAGTTGAAGAAGCTTGTCCACGACAACGCTGACGCCGTGAGGCAGATGGCGAAGTTGGAGGAGGACCTTTGGCAGGCAAAGGCTGAGTCGGAAACAGCTAGAGCGGAGGGCCAGGCCAAGGGCAAGGCTGAGGCTGAAAAGACCGTTGCTGAGGCTGCCAAGAAAGCCGCCGAGGATGCCAAGGCCGCCAAAGTGGAGGCTATTGCTAAAGCCCGGGAGGAAGCTGATGCTGCCTTTATTGCTGAGGGCTGGAGGGCTGAGGGGAGAAAACAATGGGTGGCCTCAGTGGTGGAGGCCTCGGTAGACGAGTGCGTGGCAGGCCCCGGTGCGATGTGGCTAGCCCAGAAGGGCAAGGAATATTATGATGGGGGCCAGTTCTTTACTTAGGCCCTCATCTACCGGAGGCTAGTCCGACACATGGGAGTGGATCCAAAGGAGTTTGATCCTGCGGCCCACAGCCTTCCTCCCCTCCAGCCAGACGTACGAATCCCCCTGCCTTCAGATGTTGAGAGGCCGGACTTGGAGGACTCGGTGCTGATGCAGGAGGCACAAGATGATGAAGAAGAGGCCGGATGGGATGCCACCTCAAAGCCTGCCGAAGAGGTCGTTGCCGAAGTTGCTGATTCCTGATTGTACTTTAGCAATATTTTGTAACAAACATTTATGAGCTGTCGGCTTCGGCCAGGATGTAATAAATACTTGACATTGTCCTTCTTTTGATTAATGTATGCTCTCCTTCGGGCTTTTGGTGTTTGAATTTTCCCCCGTTGTCTTTTGAATGAATGCCTTCACCTTTCTTTATGCTTTCTTCTTTAGGATGTATGAATGTATGTTTGCATGGTGAATTGGCCGAGGGCCAAACATTTAGGACTTAGAAACTTTTTCCAAGCGTTGTTTATATATAGGCCTTCGGTGGATATCGTCCTCCTAGCTGTAGGGAATAGCTAGCCTTCGTCGTCTATCCCCGGGGAACTGGTGTTGTGGGCTTAGTAATTCTTTAGGCAATGTCATGATTATGCCCTCGATCAACCTACCTTTTTAGTATACGGGCCCTCGATTCGTAGTGGTATTAGGCCGAGTTTCCCTTAGCAAAGTATGGTGGCGCCGGGGGCACTCAACTTGTGGACTTAGAAAAATATCCACTGAGTTTGCAATTGGTGGTCCTCGGTAGACATGTGGAGTTGGTTGATTTTGAACACACTTGTAGAAAAGGAGCCTCCGGTGTTGATTGTAGTGCCAGAGGTTATTGGGGTATGGATTAGAAAATTTGAGCCCATTTTGTGAGCACCAGCCTCCGTTAATGTATAGTAGTTGCCCTCGGTCTTCGTTGGGCATGTGAGCCTTCGGCTTTGGTGGATTTCCAAAGTGTGGACTTGGGAAATTCTATATCCCATCCATCATATTAAGGGCAGATACCTTCAGTGCTTTTTTCTGTTATCTTAGTTTGTTGGAGTGCCCACCCTCGGCACTTAGTGCCGAAGGGTCTTGTTTGCACACTTGTTCCCATGAAATAAGGCCTTGGGCCAAGGGTTTGTGCGAGGGCTTGGCCGCTCATGTGTGTCTTGTACTTCGTACTTGGTGTCTTCGACATGTATTTATTCTTGAAAAATAGGGGGCCTTGGGCCATTGGATGATACATTCGTGAGTTATGAGGGCTTGGCCGCTCTAATGTCACTGATAAAATTTTACCAGGTGGTGTACATTCCAATGTCTAGGGACCTCGGTCCCATTGGGGCGTTTTAGTTTGTAAGTCCCTGGTTTGATGATGGTTGTAACGATGTAGGGGCCTTCAAAATGAAACGAAAAGCGTCAGCCCTTGGTCCTATAGGGCTGTAACCAAAATGATGGATAGTGTACTCGGGGAAATGGGCTGCTATTTATAGCAGCAATAAATGCGATGAGAGTACACGTGTCAATAATCTAACGATCGAGGGGTCACCTCAATTGGGGTGGCACCGGCACTTGCATGTGGCCGCATTAAATGCGGCGGTTGGATGCGACGTTTTTTTGGTACAGTGATCCAGCGCATGTGGAGAGGAGATTCTGTCGAGGAAGACGCCTTCGGCTGTACCTACTATGCTGAAGGCCCCATGGGCCGGGGACCTCTACGTTCACCGAGGGCTGTAGGTGCCGAAGGCTTGGTTTTCAAGCCTTGTTCTCCTGTGAGGTTTCTGGGTTCGATTCTGCCAACAGGAGCCTTCGGTCATCGGGCCGAAGG